CTGAAGAGCCAAACGATGAGTGTTATCTCTAGAAGCACGTCAATGAAAAAGTTGCGTAAAACTAGAGAAAGCCGACGACCTTGACGAACATCACAAATACGTGCTCGACTACCGTATGATAAAAGTCTAAAAATGCACTCCAGAACGAGCAACAGTCTCCTATCAATCTCCCTCAACGATGACTAATGGCAATGTGATCTATTCTAATCTATTCTAATTCATATCATTTTCATGAGTAAACTGATGTTATGTAGGCTTAAAGATGGTATTTCTTATTTTTACGAACGTAAGTTAGGGTCAGTTGGGAAATTTTGTCATAATTCATTTTCAAAGCCCCAATTTTGTAACTACCAAGTCTAATCTGTTTAGAATGTCCTGATAAATGAGAATATTAAATTCGTATGTTACGTCAATCAACAATACCAATCTACTGTATATTAATAGATGTCCATCAAAAATAACTTCATCACTGACATAAAAAATATGATTTTCTCTAAACCTCAAGAATTACTCTGAATGTATATCGAAGTTTATTACTGGTTGTAAACGGTTATATTTTACCATCATCGATAGTACTATTACTTTTACTACTACTACTACTACTACTACTACGACGACGACGACGACGACGACGGCGACGGCGACGACGACGACGACGACGACTATTACTACTACTATTACTACTAAAAATAATAATAATTGTAACTCGGAATGTACAATCAAAATAAATGACCTTACCCAGAACGAAATCATTGAAGAAGCCAAGAAAAATGTGTTAACAGATTCACTTAAATGAAATTGTGCTTTTTTCACACAAGATGTAGGAAAATTTGTCATTAATTATCTTCTCTTTTTGGTTTTTTTTACCATTAAACACTTTATATAATCTAAAGTACTTCACATCAAATTGATATTTAAGAAAGAAATTATTAGTAAATTTTCAATGGATTATTTTTAAGTGGCTTGTTTACGTCAAGAGTGTAACTCAATACATATTACTTTTTTCTAGTTCACAAGGACTATGTTTGTTTATTCTTAGAATAGGTGCTGATTAGATTCTATCCATTATTCGTAAAATTCATTGTATTCAATATCAGCATTGTGCATAATAAGTTGCAAATTGGTAATGGCTAAATTAGATTATTTCTTCACTTCGATATATTCGTTTAACGATTTTTCTATTTATTGTCACTCCTCTTGAAGTTTTGGTTAGTAATTAATATAAGAGATTGACATGAAATTATTTATTGTTATGTTATCTGATTAAATCTTCATAATTTATAGCAAATTCTTATGAATAATGTTTTTCTTTTGATTAAAACAAAATAAGTAAGCAGAGAAATTATTTCAGGAAACGTATTATTAGCATGAACTAGTTTGTTATCGTTTTTTTGTACTGGCTAAACGACCATATTTATTGATTGATCACCAATTAAGATTTGCAATTTTCCGCTGTTGTTTTTGTTGCTCACGATTACAGTTGATCAGACTCCGTTGGAATGTGTACATTCTGAGTGGGTTTACGTCTCATTGTGAATATTAACATTAAGATTGAGGTAAGTCCAAATAAAAAGTTCCCAATATTATGAAATGCACATCCTGAATTCCATTACTAATAACAATTCAACTTATCTATTGATTATTGAATGATTTGAGTGCTAAGCATATAAAATGTCCTAATTTTCTGTGTAATATCCCCATCCAGAACTTTAGTTTTTCAATTCATCCATAATTGTCTGCATATAGAGATTGGTATGTTATAACGTTTGATAGCCAACTGAAGTTTACTCATATGAATCTGAAGTGGTCACTCAATTTATCGCTTCGACAGGTAATTATCAGAGTTCTAGTGAGAAGTCGTGACCAATAGAATCCAACCGTGTTGGGTATGAGGCAGTTACCCATCGAAGACAATGGAAAATGGCCGCACGATATTGTGGACTGGTTGAAGTTAGATATTAACACCATTGGATACCGTCTCAGTGGTTTAGAGGTAAAGTTTTCACACTCGAGACCAAAGGCCATGGTTTCGAGTCCCGCGTGTGGAATGGTGGGCGTGCACTGCTGATGAGTTACGTACTAAAATGAAACAACCATCTAGTGCTTTTAGCTTTTCAATGGTGATCTAACACTGATCGGTTTATGATCTCAACAAAAATTTAATTTATAGTTTTAGAATTCTATTTTCTGTATGACATTCGACTTGTTTCATTTAAAGCGATGTGTATAAAAAACATTTTATTTGTCAGTTACATCATCTTTAGGAAGATCTCAACTATCTAAATGCAATTTATGGGAAGTATTAAGCTTCACGTTTCAAGTAAATACTTATGAAGAGAAGGGATTGTTAAAACGTACTATATGTTCACTCATTAGGGTCATCAGAGTAATTATAAGCATGACTAATTCAGGAGTTGAGATGAGAATGATATCATATGATTAGCAATCAAAAATGTGAAATGGAAACAATTCGCTGATACTACAACTAATACTACTAACAATAATGATAATAATTATTATTATATGTGTGTGTTAAATATCATAAGAGAGTAATCAAAAAGCGATAGAACCAGGATCATTATGAAAATAGTATTTGACAAACTCTTTTTGAACATATTACTCTAAATTCAAAATAAAGATAAAGTTTTCTTTCAAATATATCATAGGCTTGAGTGAATGAACTAAATGTTACAAAAAGAGTATATTGCTACAGCAGAACTAATATTATTGATATAGGTGAGGTTGTAGAGGTTAAACTTAGCAGTTTATTTTATAGGGTGACCTTAGACAATTGCCGATTCCCATGAAATATTAGATAACTATTTCATCTCAGTATGGCCATCTAAATAGATTTTTGTGATCTCTATAGGATTGGTATTTTTTTAATATCATAACCAACGATGTTACAAATATAAATCTACTGTTAATAAAGCATAATAATATATAATTATAAAAAAATGTTATGAAAATAATAATAATAATAATAATAGTAATAAATAAATAGATAAATAACTTATATCATTTATTCATGAAGAAACGGATATGAACTTGTTTTCAAGAACATATTTCTTATCTTTTAATACATAATAATAGTAAATGTAATGATACTTTTTAGACGAAAATACCCCGTGATTTTTTATCCTATATGTATTAAGAATTAGTTTCTTAATTGAAGATAGTCGCGCAATATCGTGGATTGGTTGAGATTAGACATTGATACCATTGGATGCCGGTTCAGTGATTTAGAGGTTAAGCGTTCGCGCGCGTAGACCAAAGGTCCTGGGTTCGGATCCCGCGTGCGGGACCGCGGATGCGCACTGCTGAGAGGTCCCATACTAGGACGAAACGGCCGTCCAATGCTTCTAGATTTTCAATGGTGGTCTAAAATCAATCGGTTTATGATCTCAATCAAAAATTTGATAGTATTTATATTTCTGTCTCTCAATGAATCTTTACATTTACAGATAGATATATTTAAACAAGATCTTGTTAGTAATAGGGTAAGCGGAGTCAGTAAGACGAGATAATAGTAACACAATAGACTTTATATGAAACACGGTTATCCAGAGAAATATGGTAAAGTTGCCAGTATGAATATGGCTTCATGAAACTGCTTACCTGCCATCAGTTAACAAGAAACGATTGTATTCGACTCAGACATTCTCAAAAAGTTAACGTTAGTGACTGGATAACGATAAAATCAAAGGAAATTGTTGGTTTTGCACAATCTTGAAATCTGTATCACGTATCATTTCCTACTACCTGTTGTATGGCGTTAATAAAGGCAAAGAATAGAGTTTTAAGTCCAGTCACTTCTATGTATATTAAAAGTTTGACTTTCTACAACGAATAGTTAGCTACTATACACTAGATAACCTGACATGCCTAGATTTGCTTTTGACACTGTCTTTCTTGGATAAGAATGAAAATATTGAATTTACTAAAAGTACAGTACTTTTTCGTTTCACTAAACACAAAATAAAAAAGGGCAAGATCTCAGACAACAGAATATCAATGAAACTTCATGATGTGTCTTATCTCAACTCAAATTATGACGCCGTTATTTAGTGTTCGAGATTGTAAGTTTTTAGGAGCTAGATAGAATTGATAATTATAATTATTTCCCAAAATATACTTCTTATGGACTACATGAACAGTGCTCTAAAATATAAATTCGCGTATATGCCAAAAGTTCTGCCGTGATCGATTTTATTTCAACGGTGTTCGGAGTTTCAAACACCTAATTTGAATGCTTGATAGTAAATCATTTAGTCGTAGTGAAAATTATTCCCTTTCGGTGTTGATGACTAACATTATATGTAGAGTAACTATAAGTTTCACTCCTCTAAGATTCCAGGTATATAACATTAGTCCGACGGCATATTTCTGTGTACGATTGAGAAAACTGATAAAAATTCATTCCGACTTCTCTTACTATGTAATAATCAGTTAAAGATTTTTAGTTGCTAGAGCTAACCCCAAGCTTTCTAAATTTAAGGAGTAGAAGGGAATTAAAGCACAACCGAAATAAATATTTCTATATTTGTTCCATTCTGCACCCAGTAGCACTAGACCCGTGGCTAAATAGTGTTTTATTGAAGATAAAATTAAGTCAAAGGTCGTCTGTGTGTAACTGAGCTTTACATGTCATCTCTTAATTTTGTGGTTTGGATTAATCTGACCTTGGTTTGAATTTTGTTTTCCAGTATGAATAAAGAGTTGACAACTTCTGATTTGCTATTGGCTAAATAACTACTACTGCCCTAGATATCAGCCTAGCAAAAATATTTATGTGACCTTCGCCTTGAGATTAACCAATCATATTCTTAATACATTAGGGCCATTCATCTGGCTGAGAAAACTGGGGCACACGGATTAAATTTCTAGTTAGTTACGGATGTACGTATTTGCGATGTCATTAAAAGGGGATCAGTTGTCCTTCATACTCATTCAAATAAGGAATTTATGTTCTCAATTATAGCACTCATGCTACTGGATTCATGTGGCTCTTTAGTCAAATTCCATCAAGCTCTAATATCATAACATTTAAAACTTGGAATTTTTTGTTTCCACATGTCACCACTACACTTATTTTGATCCTTTTAATTCAGATTTCTGGGTCGGTACATAGTGGTCAAATATGTAAGCCACCGGATAGTCCTAACTTACCGGAACGTAAATATAAGCTTCAGGAGCTTCATTCAGCTTTTAAACATGTTTCTGCAAAATCAAATTTAATCAATGAAAAACGACTTAAACAGTCTCGTCTACAACCAAAAGGTTCTAATGCTCGATATATCACAAATGTGCATTTGGGGGTACAACTTGGACCATTGGGACCAGATAATTTTGCACAGGTCCTTCCTGCAATTGATCTGGCTCTTGAAGATATACAAGCATTTCCCGCTTTTGGAGGTGTCAGTTTTACTACAGTACTCATATTATACATTGATGCCCTTGCATGTGACGCACTTGCCTTATTAACTCAACTAAATTCGAATGGAGTGAATGTAATTTTCGGTCCTTTAAATGATTTTACTCTGGCTAACGCTGCGAGATTCAGTACTGCAATGTACAATGTCCCTATTGTGGCTCCTGCTGGCTTTGCCCATCAGCTTAGTGATAAACTTGAATATGGAATGCTTACACGTGTCTTATTTACTTATTCTGATTTGGAATGGGTTTTTGGCAATACTTTAAAACACTATGGCTGGTTGCCAGACCAACAAACACCTATAGCCATAGTTACAACTAGGAATGTTAGACGTCGAGAAGGTGTGGTCGGGCATACAGGAATGGCTGGTGTTTTTCAACATTTAATATTACAGAAGTTCTTAGTTAAAGCTGCATATAAACTTTTATCAGTCACCTTGGATGATGAATTTGATGTAACTGATCGCTTTCTGAAACGCCTTCCTGATTCTGCTAGAAGTAAGTAATCTATTATGTATGCTGTGTCTTTAATAGTTTATACAATATAGTCTCCTAATCTCAAGAAATCTAAGTTCATCCCTAGTGTCAAAGGTCGTGCACAATTAATTATATTAATTAAAACACTTGGTCCATTTTAGAAAGGTGATGTATTTGTACTATACATTTCGAACAATTTTAGGTCAATTCCGTCTTATCATTGATCTATCGAAATACATTACTTAGTTTTGGTTTCACTGTAGCTCAATTAGCAAATACTCACTTGTATATTTAATTCTAGGCTTCACGTTTTGTGAGTGCTAGTTGTACCATCAGGTTAGGGGACTAAAGTAGTGTTACAAACTTCTTGGTGGTTTCTTTATGCATAGAATAGGTTGTTAATAAATATAGTTAATTTACTTAGGGATTTTATCAAGAGATTCTCATGGTTTGGACTTATTTCCCGTCACATACTGATGATAATATTATACTATTTAATTTATTCGATAATGTCTTCTCATATATGATGTTCAGATATTTACATCCTTTACCATGTGGTCCTAAGAAACTTGACATTTTTAGACATTCATACGACATAAAATAGTTTTAAATTGTTTGGTATTCTTAGTTTATCGATTTAGAACTAACTTTAGACAAAGTTATCGATTTAAAAACAGTTTTAATTTAAAATTACTTTTTTACATCCTCATATTACCGTAACAAATTCCGATTTTCCTAAATTTAAGTGCTGGAATTAATAATGAAGTTAAATTTGTGCTTTTGTTGAATTATAGGCCATACTATTACCTCAGTTTGTATAACTATGTATTTACTCATTATTTAAATAAAGAAATGAATGTGTTTGACAGACGAAACCTGAATCACAAAAAATGATTTGTATCAGACAATGTATTATTGTACGCATTAACATTTTACAAACTTGGGTGAACTTCAAGATTTTGGTATAATTCACATTTCCAGAAGTAAATAAATTGAAGTGAATTGACAGTAGAACCTCGTCTAATTAATTACCGTCATGTAAAATAGATTGAAATTGCATATGGACAAATTTATATGAACTAGGTACAAAGTGATCATGGTTTTTGAAACGTCAGTTTGCATTAAATCTAAAGAATATATATTCAAACCTGTATTTTTTGACATAATTATGAGCACAGCAGTTAAATCAACTTGAATATTTTATTACATAAAACTTTCCCAAAACCAATCAAATAAATTATAGGTATATTATTCACATAGTCTTCTGACCAGTGTAGTTCTCATTAGTATACTGAAAAAAGGTGAGCAATATACGACTTGTAACAAGTATCCGAACGTTTCACGTCACAGAGAGAGAGGAATTAAATAACAAATCAAATGAATAAAAATAATGTATTTAAGAGACATTTTTCAACTGATGAGTGATTTCCTTGAAATTTCTTTTTGGGTCTGCACACTTCATTTGCCCAAATACAACTAGTCAATTTTAACCTAGTATTACATTGGAGTATTTTGTAATATTCGTTTTGTCTTCATAGCTTTTGGCTAGGTTTATCCAGGAGCGGATCTGTTAGTCTACGGTGGATTACATTTGGATTACTATCGTTTTCTCTATTAAAACTTATATAAAGCTGAAATTATTTATCTGAGAATATACATTATGAATGAGCTGTGTAAACTGACTTGATATTTGAGTTATTCAGAATAAATGTTGAAGCACTGTTCTCCAAAACTACTTTTGGGCATACCTTGTGTGAAGATAACCAACCTCTTTTCACTGTTCAATAAAAGTGTAGCATCTGTCCTTTTTGAGCATGTTTCCGTTCATCTAGTGAATGAGTGCTGCATATAGGTTTGCAATTTGCACTGAGGACTTCATTTTAGTTATCCAAAACTGTTTACATATGTCTTCTGTGAACGTACTACTGCAATGCAATCCATCTTACCGAATAGAAAAGGCAAGTAAAGTAAAAGCTTGAAATGAAATCCTCAGTGGAAATTATGCCCTTATATACAGTATTCGACCACTAAGTGAATTGAAAATCGCTCAAAAATCCTTGGTACTGCACATATATTGAATACTGAGAGTCAGCTGAGCTGGAAATTCACGGATATATATCCTATCCCTAAACCTTTAAACTCAATTTATGTATGATCAATTACATCTTTATCAAATAAGTGTTGATTTTTGAATAACAAGCAAAATTACGTTAGATTAGGCTGAGTATCAACACTATACAATATTGTCGGACATTCTGTTCAAATTCACTGAAGTTATTGTGAACAAATTTATAGTCATCAACTTTAATTTGTTAATCTACCTATCTAACAAGTTTTCATAGGTGTCTCAATAATCACTTATTACGTTTGATAAAGAATTAAGAGGATTCTAATCGACCCAAATTTTTAAATCATAAACTTCTGGGAAGTGACAAATAGCAAAAATCTGTAAAGTGATACTCTATAATGTCTATGAGTGAAACAATACATTACATGATGTGATTTGATTCTATGATGGTCAACTCTAATTAACCTCCCAAGTAGAAGAAAATGTCCTTATATTGGGTGAAGATAAATTCCACTCTCGTTTGCAATTTTGACTTTGCACCTGGCGACCAACCAAAATGAAGCGGGAATTTATTTACACTATCATGATCCATGATGGAGGACGTGTTTCATCATCTGTCATTTTTGCTGGCTTATATGAAAAATGTAGTTTTCCATGACGAAAATACCACCCCATCATGTTACGGATGTATGATATATAGGGAAGTCAGTCATGATGGAAGAACATAGCGAAAGACACCTCCAGTTAGTTCTATGATAGAAATTATTCCGAAATATTTACAATTGAGTGACTAAATAAGCAAAAACATAACCGTAGTTACTGACTACGATACACTCAAATACACTTGAAAACGTGGAGTTTATCCTCAGTCCTTATGTTTTATCTTTTCGTTATTGCTGGCGTAATTTTACCGCCACAGGTTTGAGAATCAATTGAACCATGCGAAATGCAGCAGAAATGCTACTTGATTGACTAATATTTGTACATCAACTGAGGTTCGTCATATTGTATCTATCCTTAATAGTCATTTCTGTCGAAAGAAATGTAGGGCGTTGGAGAGACTTACCAGGACTATCAGACTTCCGTGTTGGTATTTTAGAAATAAACGTAGTTTTGTGGTTGGAAACTTAAAGTGGCACGTTTCGAAATCGTTTGCAGTCATTCTGGTTAATTCATACTCAATCTTTCTGTAAATCTAGGATAACGTTTCCTCTAGTTTTTCCTCAGTTTGTACTGAAATCATAATTTACGTCCTACCCCTTTTCTCTTGTTGGTTTCCTCTTACTATGTTATTACATAGTTCGTTGTGCTGGGTTCATTCAAATTTGTGTCAGGCCATGTGTGCATGTAAGCGTTCCAGTAAGTGATGTTGAAAGTCGCGAATTATACTCGACTGGAATTTAGTAATAAACAACTACGGATATCGGTATTGATAAAAGACGTATTGAGTTAGGCTTAGAAAATCATTGAGCTCTGTTTCACATCATCTTCATCATATTATATCACTTCTAATTTTCTACACTATATATACGATATGTTACTGGATGTGAGAATTGGATTTGCCTCATGTACTAATCATTCCATACTGGTCAGATCAAAATTCTTCATGCTATAGTTTTCCTGACTAATAGAATCCTAATGATAGCTTTATGACTATTATATTATTTATTAAATTAATTTACTAACTTTATTTAAAAAAATTAAATTCACATCATATTATGAACGATTATGTTTATAAAAAGTTTAAAAGCAGAAGCTATCCAACATGTTTTATGGTAGCCCTTGCCTCCATGAATCTTGAGTCCAACTCCTGGGATGCGGTGTATAACCGAACTGTTGAAATCTGATATACTGTCACTAGTATACTTGTGTAACTTAGGGACTGACTGTTTGTCCTTAGCCTGAGTGAGTTGGCAACATTCCATCTTCCAACATCATTTGTTAATGTTTAATGATCATGACTAGTGATATCTAGATATATCGAATTAACTTTCTTGTTCATTGTTTTTGATTCAAATAAATTCTTCTTAAATTCTAAAATATCATATGAGCAGTCAAACGAGTGAATTAGATATTCTGAGAATGTGAAAAATGCAAGAGTGCTGGACTGATGTTAAATATATTGTTAAAAAGATTTTTAAATGTTTGTAAGAATATATGCATCATACTAACTTTTGTGCAGTTTTTACTTAATACTTGCATATAATTGTTCTATTTTATTTTAATCTATATAATAAACTTGAAAAAGTTTGGCGCCGAAATTCATGCTGCATTTAATAATCTTAAATAATTCAATATAAATGTATATGAAGTCTAATGAGTCAACGTATGCATACGTTTTACAAGGAAGGGTCAAAATTCGTGGACAAATTGATTATAGATGCTTGCTAAGGTGGATGTATTCTCAATCAATTAATTTATTAATGGTTTTTCAAGTTTTGAAATGACGTGGATTATTTCTTTCACACTACATTTATCTAACAATTACGGGTAATATGCCTCCATCAAGGGGTTGATATATAAACAGAACATTAACTAGTCAGTCATTTTTAAGGGATCAAAATTCTCGACAAATAACTCAGAAACTATTCACAGGTTCATATCTATTATGACTAAATATAGTACACAGCTAACCAGATGTTTTAAGTCGAACTTATGACATTCTCAATTTATGACTTTTGTGTTTTTTTTATAATAATGTTGAGTAAAAATGATTTTATGTCCTCTGAACCGGATGGTATGATTATGATGGTTTTGTTTTCCTGATGTGCAGCATTTTCAGAATCAAAATCTAACATTTCTGTGTGATATGTCATTACATGTTTGACTGGTTCACTTGTCAGATACTTCATTTAACTTTTGTTGGCCATTTCGATTGTTTAGAACTTAATAAGATCTTGACTGAACATAACAATGAAAGCCTGGAGACTAAACATTGTGATAAGAATGTATC